CATCATGTTTTCATTGTCATTTGTCTCTAGGTATTTTTTAATTTCCTCTTTGATTTCTTCAGTGATCTCTTGGTTATTTAGTAATGTATTGTTTATCCTCCATGTTTTTGTGTTTTTTACGTTTTTTTCCCCTTTAATTAATTTCTAATATCATAGCATTGTGGTCAGAAAAGATGTTTGATATGATTTCAATTTTCTTAAATTTACTGAGGTTTGATTTGTGACCTAAGATGTGATCTATCCTGTAGAATGTCCCATGCACACTTGAGAAGAATCTGCTGTTTTCAGATGGAATGTCCTATAAATATCAATTAAATCTATCTGGTCTATTTTGTCATTTAAAGCTTGTGTTTCCTTATTAATTTTCTGTCTGGATGATCTGTCCATTGGTGTAAGTGAGGTTTAAAAGTCCCTCACTACTACTGTGTTACTGTCAATTTCCTCTTTTATGGCTGTTAGCAGTTGCCTTATGTATTGAGGTGCTCCTATGGTGGGTGTGTATATATTTATAATTGTTATATCTTCTTCTTGGATTGATCCCTTGATCATTATGTAGTGTCCTTCTTTGTCTCTTGTAACATTCTTTAAAGTCTATTTTATCTGATATGAGTATTGCTACTCCAGCTTTCTTTTGATTTCCATTTGCATGGAATATCTTTTTCCATCCCCTTACTTTCAGTCTGTATGTGTCCCTAGGTCTGAAGTGGGTCTCTTGTAGACAGCATATATATGGGTCTTGTTTTTATATCAATACAGCGAGCCTGTGTCTTTTGGCTGGAGCATTTAATCCATTCATGTTTAAGGTAATTATCAATATGTATGTTCCTATGACCATTTTCTTAATTGTTTTGGGTTTGTTTTTGTAGGTCCTTTTCTTCTCTTGTGTTTCCCACTTAGAGAAGTTCCTTTAGCATTTGTTGTAGAGCTGGTTTGGTGGTGCTGAATTCTCTTAGCTTTTCTTGTCTGTAAAGCTTCTGATTTCTCCATTGAAAATGAATGAGATCCTTGCTGGGTAGAGTAATCTTTGTTGTAGGTCCTTCCCTTTCATCACTTTAAATACATCATGTCACTCCCTTCTGACTTGTAGAGTTTCTGCTGAGAAATCAGCTGTTAGCCTTATGGGAGTTCCCTTGTATGTTATTTGTCATTTTTCCCTTGCTGCTTTCAGTAAGTTTTCTTTGTCTTTAATTTTTACCAGTTTGATTACTATGTGTCTCCGCATGTTTCTCCTTGGGTTTTACCTGTATGGGACTCTCTGCGCTTCCTGGATTTGGGTGGCTATTTCCTTTCCCATGTTAGGGAAGTTTTCGACTATAATCTGTTCTAATATTTTCTTGGGTCCTTTCTCTCTCTCTTCTGCTTCTGGGACCCCTATAATGCGAATGTTGTTGCATTTAATGTTGTCCCAGAGGTCTCTTAGGCTGTCTTCATTTCATTTCATTCTTTTTTCTTTATTCTGTTCCACAGCAGTGAATTCCACCATTCTGTCTTCCAGGTCACTTATCCGTTCTTCTGTTTCAATTATTCAGCTGTTGATTACTTCTAGTGTATTTTTCATTTCAGTTATTGTATTGTTCACCTCTGTTTGTTTGTTCTTTATTTCTTCTAGGTCTTTGTTAAACATTTCTTGGATCCACTCAATCTTTGCCTCCATTGTTTTTCTGAGGTCCTGGATCATCTTCACTATCATAATTCTGAATTGTTTTTCTGGAAGGTTGCCTACCTCTACTCTATTTAGCTGTTTTTATGGGGTTTTATCTTGTGCCTTCATCTGGTATGTAGCCCTCTGCCTTTTTATCTTGTCTTTCTGTGAAAGTGGTTTTTCTTCCACAGGCTACAGGATTGTAGTTCTTGCTTCTGCTGTCTGCCCTCTGGTGGATGAGGCTGTCTAAGAGCCTTGTGCAAGTTTGTGTTGAGGTTTTTTAGAGGGATAATTAGGAAATATCTATCAAAATTTAGACTAAGAAGTAAATTGAAAATCAATGTGCCTTCTTTTAGCCTTTTTTTTTTTTACATTTTAGAAATATATATATTTCTATACATTTCAAACTGATCACCACAATAAGTCTTGTTACAATATGTCACCATACAAAGATATTACATAGTTATTGACTGTATTCCCCACACTGTACATTTCATAACCATGACTTATTTATTTTGCAACTGGAAGTTTGTATGTCTTAAGCTCCCTCACCTATGTTTTTCCTCCCCCACCACATACCCCTCTGGCCCATTTGTTCTCTGTATCTATAACTCTGTCTCTGTTTTGTTATGTTTGTTCATTTGTTCTGTTTTGTTTTGTTTTGTTTTTAGATTGCACATATAAGTGAAACCATATAGTATTTTTCTTCCTCTTTCTGACTTATTAGCATAATACCTTCTAGGTCAATCTGTGTTGTCACAAGTAACAAGATTTCATTCTTTTTTATGGCTGAGGGCTGAGTACTCTTCCATTGTATGTGCACATATATCACATCTTCTTTATACATTCATCTATTGATGGGCACTTAGGCTGCTTCCAAATCTTGGCTATTGTAAATATATTATTTGTCAAGTGACTTATTTGCTACACATTCAATTACCCAAGTTCAACTCAATTCACTTAAAATCAATACAGCATTATTGGGGATTTTTTTCCCATAAGGTTTTATTTTGTTGGGCCTCTACCAGAGCCATTTACTTGCATTTTTGTAAACACTGCTCATTTGAATGTCACTTTTGTGTGTGCTTCACATTTCAAATGCTGAATATTTCTTTAACTTAATCTTTTATTTGAGAATGGGCAGGCTTTTCCTTTATTACAGTTTACTATCTTGTAGTTTTTTTAAGGGTAGGTTCCCTGCTTTCATTCCCACATTCATCCCTACACCTACCTCTACCAACGGCCACTGAACAGCTTTGGCAAATGTCCTAGATCTGGTTTAAGAGAATTGACTGACAAATTCCCACAAATTAACATTTTGCAATTTTCTGAGGTCACCACAGCCTGTTGGTTTCTGGAAAAGAATAGAAGTCTTCTAACTCAGGCTCCTAATACTAACACAGCTACCACCACCATCACCCCACTTCCAATAAAGAAAAGTGATAAAAAAAATTCATAGTCCCTCAAGTTTAATCGAATATTATATGTTACAGGAATATGGTAAGTCTTCTCAGGAATTTGAAGCATATCCAATTCATTATGAGATGGAAATCTTTAAAAGTATTCCCATGTGAGTGTCTTGAATCTCAAACCTATTAAAACATAATAATTTCACAATAACATTTGATATAGAAAGGAGGCAAGGAATACAAGTAATAAAAAGGGATATCATTACTCTAACTATGTAAATTCCTGCCTGGTTCAAAACTACTCTCGATTAGGAGTAAAACTGGCTTTTAAAATACAGAATGTATTTAGAAAGCCAGAATTTTTGACTTTTAGAGTTGGAAGAACATTACCAATTGGAGAAAACTACAAATGGCTTCTGAATGCAGTTATTTATCACCAGCCATGCTCACTGAAGCCCTAAAAGATATCATTTTGTCACTCTTATTTTGCTGCTATTAATATCTTACTTTGAAAAATACTTTCATTCAGATTGTGGATTCCTGTTGGGTGTGTTTCCCACCTCTTCCTTTTGCTTGTCATTTGGAATCGGGAGTGCATATAAAAGGTAAAGAGGAAAGCAAATGGCCAGCGAAAGTAGGAGAAATGCTTGAGAGTTGTTTGTTGTTTTCTTAAGAAATAAAATAGCTAGCTATTTATTTATAACATGCTAATCAAATAAACATAACCCATTCTTCTCCTCATGCCTTCCAACTGAAATTAAGAACCAATGGATGATAGTGATCCTATTAGCTGTACTATATTAGATTGAGTTAGCCAGGTTTTAAGAGAACTAGCACATTTCCCTAC